AAATATCTATAAGTGATGATAAATATAATTTGCAATTTTTTTTATGCAGTATCTACTTATAATATTTTATAAAGTATAAATTGTATGTTAACACAACTGTTTGTGTCATACATTGAGATATATCATACATAATTATAAAATCTCCACTTCTACTAAATAAATACTATTATATATTGAAAAGTTTGAAAAATAAAATACGTAAAAATGTATGTTTTGAAGAATTAATCAGTTCCATGACATAAATATGAAATAATATGCTTATTCATACATTGTCGTATGTAGTATTATTTCTCAGAAATATATTGAATCATCTTCCTAGAAATAAATCCGAACGAATCGATTGGAAAACGGAAGAAATATTTCTGGGAAATTTGAAATTTCTGTTTCACTTAAAATCAAAGTTTTGTTCACTGAAAAATAGATATTATAGATGATACTTTTTGCGAATTACCATAATTTTATACCGTTACATAAATTTTGAACATAATATAGCACTAATACATCCAAACAAAGAAGAATTAATTAAACCAAGAATAATCTTAAATTTTTGTTTATCAATAATAAGATGTAACAAAGAGAATTGTATTCTTACCAGTGCAAAGATCTTCGAAGACTTTATTTTAACTTCATTGTTTTACCTCTAATAAGCTTCAATAATATTTTATTTTATTATCACGTGTAGTTTTTCTTTATTAAATTCGAATACACCCTTTACTGCGTATGATATCGTTTAAAACAATATCAACTTTCAAATAAAAATACAATGTACCAATTAGGAGATGAGTGTACATATATGTATACATGCTTTCGTTAAAACTGTACATAAAACATATTTCGAGCTAATAAAATTTTTTAATTTCGTTAATTACACTGTTAATAAATAAATTTTGTTAATCAATTTATGATAAGGATAAACATGAAACAAACATTAATTGGAAAGTGTGGCACACGACAAAAGTATATCATTTTAATCACAATTACGATCTAATTGTTTATTAAAATTATTTAAAGTTTTGCATACTGCTCCGTATACCATATTCGCTGTAATGTTTTCCTTTAATGAATTTTGGTCTTGTTATCAGTCAAACAAATGTTTATCCAATTGCAGCATATAAAAATACGCAAAATAAATGAAAGTAACATTACAATCTTACTAACTGCATGGATAATTTGTTGTTTACGTATCTTAACCTTACTCTCGTGTATTTCGCATACTCCGATATGTTATAATTGTACAAACATACGTAGTCTAGTCGTAAGAAGCCTAGCGAGAGGCATTAATATCCACGAAGAACCGCTCCTTTCTATTTCCTGTTCACTTTCATGATTAG